AGTGCCAACAAAACTATGGTGTAAGCATTCATTTTCATTTTACCCTAAGTGTGATGTTTTGATGAATAACTTGAGTGAATATTTCAATAGTACAATATTACAAGCTAGGGATAAGCCAATACTCACTATGGTAGAATGGATTAGGAACTACGTGATGAATAGGATTGCTAATAGTGTTGTTAAGCTTGATAAGTGGAAGCACAATGTCATGCCTAATCCTAGGAAAAGGCTTGATAAGGAAACATATCTTAGTGGAGAATGGCTGCCTACATGGAGCAGTGGTAATTTGTGGCAAGTCCATCACCCATATAATGGATTGCAGTTTGTTGTTGATATTGGGAAAAAAACCTGTACTTGTTGTTTTTGGGATCTTGTGGGCATACCTTGTAGGCATGCTGTTTCTGCATTACAGTATCAAAACTTAGATCCTGAGAAATATGTTGACCCTTGTTACATGAGAGAAGCTTACAGGGCATGTTATGAAAACAATGTTAGTCCAATAAATGACATGGACATGTGGCCAACTGTGGATGCTGAAGAATTGTTGCCACCACAATACAAGAAGGGACCTGGAAGGCCTAAGAAACTGAGGTTTAGAGAGTTGGATGAGAATGGTTCAAGGATGAGGAGGGTAGGTGAGGCATATAGATGCACGCATTGTGACAAATTTGGCCATAATTCTAGGAAGTGTCAAGCTAAGGAGCAAGATCCTAATGCACTAAAGAGAAAGGTATTGTGTTCATGAATCGGTTACTGAATAATATTGTGTTCAGCATATTGAAATGTCTTTATTTATATCTGTTTCTGAATAATGCAGAGAAAGACACCCAGGACCAAAGTGTCAAAAAAATATGATGGGATTGTGGATGAAGGCCCAGAGATGGATGCAAATGTTGATACAACTGCAACTGGAGGTGGAACTGTGGATGAAGACCCAAAGATGGATTCAAATGTTGATACAACTGCAACTGGAGGTGGAACTGTGGATGAAGGCCCAGAGATGGATGCAAATGTTGATACAACTGAAACTGGAGGTGGAACTGTGGATGAATGCCCAGAGATGGATGCATTGCTGAATAATATGATGGATCTTTATGAAGAACAACAATCACAAGTTGACAATCCCACACAACCTACTGCTATGCAACCTCCCCCAACACATGAATCACAACCTGCTGCAATGCAACCTCCCCTAGCACATGATTCACAACCTGCTGCAATGCAACCTGACCCTGCTGCTACTAATGTCAAAAAACCTTCAGCTAGGAAAAAGGCTGTGGCCGTGCCTTGGAAGCGATCAAGAAAGAGAGTCAGTGAAAGATTGAAGGAGGTGAGGAATGCCAAAAGACATGGTGGGCCTAGATCAACACCTGATGCACCTTTGACCATAGGTGAAGAAACTGGTGGTAGTACCTCAAAGAAGATATCAAGGAAGAAGAGGAAGGGCATTGATCAGTAGTTGTGCACATAGTGTGCTATTTTGTAAAATTCAATTTGAAAGTTTCCTGTGTCATTCTGTTACTTTGACTTATTATCAGAACAGGCTTGGCTTAAGTTATGTATCATGTTATTGTCATTTTGTATCACAGATGTACTTGACTATGTATCACAACAGATTTGCTTGACAATGTTAAAGTCATTTTGTATCACAGATGTACTTGACTATGTATCACAACAGATTTGCTTAACAATGTTAAAGTCATTTTGTACAACAAATTTGCTTGACTATGTATCACAACAGATTTGCTTAACAATGTTAAAGTCATTTTGTACAACAGATTTGCTTGACTATGTATCACAACAGATTTGCTTAACAATGTTAAAGTCATTTTGTACAACAGATTTGCTTGACTATGTATCACAACAGATTGGCTTAACTATGTTATTGTCATTTTGTACAACAGATTTGCTTAAGAACAGAATTACTTAACAACAGATTTGCTTAACAACAGATTTTGTACAACAGAATTACTCAACAGAATTGCTTAAGAACAGATTTCCAAAATATCAGAACAGATTTCCAAAATATTCCAAAACAGTTTTACTTAACAATATATCAGAACAGACTTAAGCAAATATATTCCATAAGAAACCATAAGAAAGAAATATATTCCATATTCCATAACTCAACTAACCAAAACTCATGAGAGTAATATATTCCATATTCCATAACAAAGAAATATAATTCATGAACTAAATTTTACATAGGTTACAACTTCCTAGAACATAAGCCACAGCTTCATGAATTTTTACATGAACTAAGTAAGAAATGAACCAAAAGACAAATAAACCCAACTAAAACATAATTCAGCTTCTTTTTTAACTCATCCATTTTTTTCTCCATGGCTTCCATCTTCAGGGCGATATCTCTCTCCAGTTTGCTCATCAGTTCTACTGAAACTACATCTGAATGGCCGTTATCACCGAAATCATCAGAAAATTCATCATCCCAAACAAATGTGTCGCAGTCATCTCCTTTACCCCGGAACTTACACTTCCAGTATTTTCTCCCGGGATTTGCAACCGATTTTGAAACAAATAACTTCATGGAGACATTGTGGCCGCATTTGGGAGTTACTCTACCATTTGAAGATAAGCTTGAAGTAGAACAATTTGGTTGACTCATGTTTATGAAATCAAAGAAAACTTAAAGATGAAGAGGAAAGCAAAAGTTGGGTTGCTGAGATGAAGATGGCTGCGCCCTAATTTGAAGGGTCTGAATTGAAACATAGCATTTGCCAAATAATTTGAGATTTTAAGAAAAATGTAGAAAGGACATTCTGGACATTTTATTTGATATTGTGTGACATGGCATAACAAAAACTTACAAATGTAACAAAAATATAAGCCACATCAGCCTTTTAGGTGATGTGGCATCCTCAAGGTAAAAACTGAAACTTTTAAAATTTGTAAAGCTAACAATTGAAACTTTTTTTTTGGCAGGGGAATTTTTCAAATACACCCCATATGTCAGGGGTGAAAATAGGTATTAACCCGTCCATATATTACTCCACTCCTTATTGAATTCTCCATGATACTTGATGTTCAACTTGACCTAAGTATTATGGTTTCATAATTATTTCTTTATTTTTGTTTATTAAATTTAGAAACTTTTGTAATTTTGTAAAACTATTTTTTTCTTTTAAGTAATTTATGTTATATTATTTAGTTTTACTTTTAATTCAAGTTATTTTTGGAAAAAAACTATTCGACACACATAAATACTTGTACGAAGACAAGAATATCCCACTAATTGAATCATATTGTTTTAACAAAATTCATGATTTAAAGTGACATCTTAAATTATCTTTTAGTAACATTAGCTATCTTAAATCTACTAACTCAAAAGGACATCAAAAGATTTGAATACAAAAAGTTGTCCAAAGCATTTATTTAAGGAATTCTTTGAATTATCAAAAAGCAATATTGGAGAAAGGGATTAAAATGGTTTCTCTTGGTAAAAGATTCAAAGAATTAACAATAAAAGATTAGAAAATTTGATTCTCAAAAGATCAAAGGAGAAAAAAAATTCTTTAATTGATTTTTATTTAGTAAAAGATAAATCACCTGTTAAAAAATAAATAGAAAAAACTCTAATTATTTTTGTAACAAGTGATAACTTAACACTTTAATTTGTTCGCTTTAATTTTCATTATTGTGTTCAAATTTTGTCAATAAGAAAATGAGCTCAGACTCTAAAAAGGTAGGTTTAAAATGAAATCTCGCCCAAAATCCTTTTCAGGACCAATTAACACAAGATGCTGAAAAAATCTCGCCTCCTAATTTCAAACCTTGCGTCTTCCAAGCGATTAAACTCTAGTTATTTTTTAACAAGTGACAAATCAATGCTTTAATTTTTGGATTATGGTTTTTTGAATGAGTGAATATTTGTATGGTTTAAGGTTAAATGGTCAAGCTCCCCCTTTTAAAGGTATTTTATGATCAAACCCCTCACAGTGGTTTGGTAATGCAATAGGTTATGTGAAAATAGATGTAAAAACTTCCAATTATTCTTCAATAAGGTATGGGATAGGTAATAGGTTAGACATTTTCTCTATGATTAAGTAGAAAACATGTAGACATAAACATGGTGGGTAAAGGGTAAGTAACAGTCATCAAGCATATTTCAGAACTATTTTGGACAGCATTGGCAAAATATTTATTACTGATGAGTTTGTGTTATTGAATAAGATTTGGTGTTTGTGTTATTGCTCCTCTAAGGACAATTTTCTTTCCTTAGACTGTGAATGATTTGAATTGCTATCACTTTTTTTCTTTATAAAGAAAAAAGATAGTCATGAAAGACAGATAATTAGGAAACCCATTTCTAGTAATAAGTAGTAAAATAAACACTTTATCCGTGACATGGTCTATATAATATAAAATCATGAGGCTTTCTAAGCCAAAATAAAGGTAGTTATTAGGTTGGTAAAACATCATACCACAAAAACAATTTTCAAGTTAATATATGCAACAAAAATACAATTAACTTTTATTGAAAAATTGATAAAATTAAGGATCACATTTATAATCAGAGAGGCATCGATCAAAATTACATATGAGCCAAGGAAGGTTGGCTCAATTGACAAGGAGTTGGCTCACACACCAAGAGGTCGTGTACTCAACTCCCGTTGTCGATGTGAGGACATTCTTGGTAGATGATCTGTAAGTACCTCTTTGAGCCTTGAGGCCTGCCCTGACCCTGGTGAGTCTCCGGAATCCAACTCACCTAAACTTTTTCTTATCAAAAAAAATTAAAATTAAAATTACATATGGTACAAACGAAAAGTCTAATCATCAAGCTAAAGGGCCACTTATTTTTATGTAACTAACTTGGGCACTAAATTCACACTCTGCATTTTTTTATGAACACCTTATCTGCATTTCGCACCTAAAATTTTGACTACACACTTTCCTCTCTGCTGAAGTCATATAAATAAATAAATCAGACCTAGTAGTTATTTGTAACTGCCGCAATAGCGATCTTGTAATCATTTCTGCTAAGTGTACTTCTGAGTTCTGATATTCGTGTGCAGTGCACCACCTTTTTCTATTTGATATTTATCAATGCTCTCTATTAGTTGCTGATTTTGTTTGTTACACTTTAACAGATTTCTGATCAACCATCTGACACAGTTTAAACACACAAATTAGAGAGAGAATTAGTAAACATCAACTGGAATCCGAGGGAAGATGAACTATTTCTCATTGATTCAAAGAGGAAAGTGCTGAGATAGGTTTTCGTACAGTTGGAAAAAAGTAAGAAAGTTGAAACAGATAACAAATATGTAAGTATGATTATGCTGCTCTGCATCGGTGGCTCGGGAAGAAAGCCCAATCTGCTACAGAGTAATTTACACATTGTATCTATAATCCGATACTACCGTCTTACAGGCCACATGAACAGAGAGGGAAAAGAAAACGAAACTAAGATACGATCAATGGAACAAAGAGCAATAGAAGACAAGGGAGAATGACATATTAGCATATGATGTTGGAAAACAATGAACTATAATTGAATGCCAATGGAAAACAAGTTCATTGACTGTGTCTAGCTACTGAACTCTTTTTAAAATGAACATACAACAAAAATAAATATCATTCATGGATAAAGAATTTTTCGCTAAAGAGGGACAAAGGAGTTAATCAAAAGGTTAATATGCTATGTTTATATACCAAAAGCACAACAGTTACGTGTCCTTGTCATCTCTTTGCAATAACTTAAAATATACAACAAAGGAGATGATAAGGTGCCCCTCTCAGTAAAAACATTTGTAACCAGTGGAGTTTAATTTCAGCTATTAGAGAAAGGTTTTAATTTTAGTCAGTAAAGAGTGAGATGAATCGTACAACAGTTTTACCTTTGGCAGCATTGATTACCCATCTCACAGGTGGGAGCCTTGTTTAACCTTCTTCCCGTCACTTGTTTCTAAATCCATCAAATATATCAGTAGTTAGGAGCAATGCTGAGCTAAATCAGCTTCAAGATCCACTCAATTAGATGCAGAAGTATATGTAAACTGAGCTTTTTGGGAAGACTCTACCAATAGTGTGCTTGAAATGCGTTTGGACCCACAGCAAGGTGGAGTTTGAGTTTTATTCTTTTGGTGGTGCCAATAACCTTTATCTTTACGCCTTGAAGTTTAGACTAGTTGATGTGTGCTGTTTCACAGTAGAAGTTACATTATTTCACAAGAAACTCTGCAGCTTGAGCTGAATGCAACCCAATATGTAATCACAAAAATGCAATACTTGAGATAATTCTTCAATTGCAGTATCATTTCTGAAGATAACAAATATATGCAGAATGAGTGAATGATGAATTACAGGCTAGGACAAGACACCAAAGTTCCGATTTATCAAACCCAAAAGTTGATTACTTTATCCATAAGAACTCCAAATGTCCACTGAATGTATATGGCATATCTTCAAAAGGGAAGAAAGCATTTCAGGCAACAAGGTCAACTTCATCTCGTCCTGGGGAAACCACGTCTAATCTCATCATGCTCCTATATTGATCCGGAACGGGAGCCCCAGCATGCACACATAGTTCCACGACAGCAGGAGCCTTTCCATAATATCTCTTCAAATTGTTATTCAGAGCAGGTCCATTCAGATCCTCAACATGCCAGACATAATTTGGACTCACAATATCATCTAGTGTTGCCTCTTGCCATGCATGTAAACCATTCCGAGACTGATGCTTTGAAGCCTTGCACATTCTCAACTTATGCCCCTTAGGACCAACCTGAACCTCGGGACAATATCCACAAGCATTCACAACATACTTCTCCATGATCTTCTTTGCACCTGATGTCATCTCAAACCATGAATCCAATGTATGTTTACTTAAATCCCTTAACTTGTTCCTTTCTTCGTCACTCAACTCCTCTATATGGCTTATTTTGTTCTCCACTAGATTTTGGATCTTCTCTACAGGCTTCATCAACATAGAGGATGAATCCATTAAAGGGTTACCATTTTCAAAAGAGTATCTTCCTCCTCCACCTTCATTATCTCCCACAACGGATTCAAAATCAGCAATTCTTCCCTCGATACAATATACAGGTTTGGTCCTCCTCTTTGTCGGATATTTCTCAAGGTCTAGACCCGCTTGTATGCAGAGTTCAACTATGGCAGGGACACGAGGAACACTAAACCTCTCATCATGCAGAACCCTTGGTTTGCCAACACGATCATAGAGATGAAAGCATTTTGCAAAACGAAACACATCTCGAACGCCTCCCCTTCTCCAAACATGAGTTGCACTCTGCAGCCAACTTTTTGGTCCAGTACATGTTCGAATTTCATGACCCACATAACCGATGTGAACCTCGTTACAAAGCCTGATAAATCAAAACACCAAGTGTGAAGCTAACAAGTACAAGCCAATGCAACATGTTCTATTTCCACTCCAAAAACAGTAGAAAGCCTAGATTAATGACACAAAAATCCACCACTTAAAAAAAATCAAATGTTGTTAACTATAAAACACATACAACCACCATGACACTGACACTAACACGGCGACACCGGTAATAATTTGAAAAAAAAATAATAAATTAAACGTAATCATATATCATAAGTACGGTGTCCGTGATTTCAGAGGTGCGGGTGCTACAAAGCTAAGAATGCTCAAAATTCATTTGTTTCTAATGCAATGCAATTTCTCATGACTCTTAATTTTTTTACTATCATCAATTTCTACTTCAAAATTCAAAAGAAAACAATCAAAGATTAGAGAGAAAGCATACTCGCAGCGCAAGACAGGAATGACTCGGACGAGTTGACTCAAACCAGAAAGTAGATAGCCTCGAGCTCGATAGACACGATGAGCAACTTCGACAAGCTCCGGCACCAGCAATCCATTATCGGGAGGTTCTTCCAGAACTCTGCAAGGTTGTGCCTTTCGAGCTTCCCTCTCTGCCTTCGCCCTTGCAATGAGAACCTTCATTGGTGTCACGTACGGCTTCCTCTCCGACTTTATTCGGCTAGGGTTGGGAACGTCGGAGTATGGGAAATCGTAGTCGGGTTGTTCTTCCACCGGCGAAGTCACCGATGTGAATGAAAGGCCAGAGTTAAGGCGGTGAGATAGTCGATTTAGGAGAGCAAGTTGCGAGGAGATGACTGTGGCACGCATATCTCCGCCGCTATGCTGAGAAATGGAAGTGGCGGAGCACCGGCGAAGTAATGAACTTATTCCAGAGATTGTTGCTGTCGGGCTTTTTTGTACTATGCTAAATTTTTATTTTTTTTGTGTTTCATGAATTTTAGCCGGGTATTGTACTAGTTTTAAGAAAAATGTAATTAAAATTTTCATTTATTTTAAAATAAATTATTACTTAAAATGACATGAGATTCTATAAATAAATTACAGGTGTGTATTTGTAGTGATATATTTGTAAAATACATTAAGGCGATACAAGAACTTGTCTTTGTTGGACGTCTGCCTAATAGAATGTCGTTTAGGCATGATCTCGGTTCAGTAGCTGGTTCGCCTTAAGAGAAAATATGGATGGTAACATGTACGTAGTTTATAATCACGCGCAGAAGAAGTTGCGACCATGATTCTCTAAGAAGTAGGTAGTCAATAGGGTTCTCCATTTAAGGTGGAGCGATTATCACTTTTCAGAATTTCTCAAATACATGCCTTTAGGCCTCTATGACTACTTTAATTCTATGGTTAAGAGAACATTTTGAAGTCACAACGGAATACCTCAAAAACACATAGCTTATCACCCTTGTGAGTTTGCTTTCATCTCACAGAAAACACCTCAAAATAGAGCTTTTCACTAGTGTGAGCTTGCCCTAAACCATCACAAACTATAAAGCCTTTGACCACCCTTACTAGCATAGGGGGTGTCACACATCTGTACTTTTTTTAGCAAATACAGTGGCGTCAACCGTGGGACTCCAGTAAAACTAACATGGGACACACCTTTCATTATCACCACCACTTTGACACTCAATAAAACCTTTACTCATAGCTCTAATTATCCTTAATCACGGTTGATAGAAGAGAACAATCCCTCACACATGAGGATATTTGAGGTACCAATGATCTCAACGCCATAATTGAGATGTGCACTGTCATGAATGAACTGCACCGCCAAAATCAAACTCTAGAGGACAACACCCTCAACATCCAACAATGCCAGCAGAAGGCTACCCCCATAGAGGAGACGGGGGTGTTAGATCTCTTGCCCCTCTCAGACGAGATATGGGAAGCACTTGTTCCCAAAGATTTCAAGGCTCTCTCACTGGCAAAGTTTGATGAGCAAAGAGTCTCTTACGAGCATGTCGCCTCCATCAACACGTACATGGCCATCATTAGAGTGTTCGACTCTCTAAAATGCAAGTTTTTGTCTGGCACTTTCAGGGATGCAAACTTACGATGGTACATGGGCCTACCCAGAGCTTTCATCACAGGCTACCAGAAGCTGGTGAAGAAACTCGTGCATTAGTTTGCAGCCAGTCATATAGAAATATATTCACCACTAGCATGTTTAACATTCGACAAGGCTCCTCATAGTCAATGAGGGAATATGTTGCTCGTTTCAACGAAACCACCATAAAAGTCATCCACCCAACCCAAGAAATGTTTGTATGAGCATTTCATAATGGTCTCAAAGTAGGGTGTAATACCCCATTTCTACCCGGCGGATAATAAGAAAATCAGAGTTTAACATAAATAGGATGCTACATTTTCAACTAAAAGTCAATCTTCATTAATCGCATACAAACAGATACATAACACTTAACTCTGATGAACCGACAACAATCTGATTTATTCTTCAAAACCAAACAACTTTTTATTGATAAGCAACGGAATATACATACTCAACTTCAATTCACTTAACATCTTTTATTCAACTAAAACAACCTCAAGACAACAATTATTTCATGTAATCGACTTAAAAATTCAGCAACTGAAATAATAATCAATAATTAAACATCAAGCGTTTATCCCCCTGAGTGCTACGTGTTAGAGCGACAACACCGACTCGAACTAACGAGGTAATAACTATCCTTCTTGATTACCTGCACATTACCAACAGAGGATAACATTCAAATAGAAGGAGTGAGATATCAAACTATATAATTAGTCATAAGATAAATAATATATTAAATCAGATCATATAAAATCACCACTTCACAAATTACAAACAACTTTAATCACAATAAAACATCAACACGACATAACTACTAAATTCACAGCTTTTAGATAATACTTGTCACAAAAGTCAACAACATAAAGCAACAACGAATATATCTTCACCACAATTCAAGATGCAACATCAAATGTGACTCAATCACAATGCACATGCGTGTGGTACCATCGGAACAAAACTCCCAACTTAAAAATTGTCAATTAATAGAGGCGTCAACAAGGCATAAGCCTTCTCCGCAGTTTGCCAATACAGGCCTTCACAAAATCCGCCAATACAGGCCATCACAGAGTATGCAAATGTATGTGACTCAGTGAATGCACCATCACATACTAACAACAATCATCATTCATCGCAAGGAATAAGCCCACATGACCATTATTACCAGTAAATAGAGGTAATTCATCATCATCTAAAATCTCTGCAACTTCACATTATCAACAAGAATTCACAGGGACAATCACAACAACACAACATCTCAACATTGCCCATAGGCCTACAACATAATATTACCAATAAATAGAGGCAATTCAACCAAATTTATCATCACCTACAATTCATATTTTTCAGCAAGGTATACAACACAATTCCATAAACCTGAACCATTCAATTTAATTTGACTTCACCTGCAAATAAAATTTATTCTACATAATTCTAACAAAACAAACCAACTAAAAATACCCATATGTATATACGACTCACTCCGACAATTTCAACTAATTCCGGTTAACTACTTTTACCGCCTAAATCTACAAATTCGGCTAATCGGTATTGTTTTATATACTGTTATTACTACTACTTATTTATACTACTACTAATCAATTTATTCTACTAAATTACGCTACCTCTGTTATTTAGCTTACTGCTATTATTGGTCTCCGACAAAACTACTTGTTTGCTATCTACAAATTCTATTACTATAACTTCCTGCCAGTGACAAATATTATTTATAAACCAAAACCAATTTCAACGTATTCCTCATGTTACTGAAATTCTCCGTTATACTTTCTATATGATAATTTTCAATTTCTACATCTACTGATACTTCCTAACAATGCCCAGCTAAATTAGTCTATACACTATTATTTCTGCTACTCTTATATATATATCCTGCTATTCATTTGACTAAAGCATTACAATTTATTCCTGCATCTTCTTTAATCCAATCTGATACTAAATTATTTTACTAATTATATTAACTTATTAATAATATAAGATATGACATAGTCCTTCCACCACGCCTATATGTTCTTTC